TCTCCCCAGTCATGGAAAACATTGCATGAGTCTGGATGCTGAGCAGACTTTACCATTTGGAAAGACCACCAGTGATCTGGATTTAGGATAGCCTGCAAACCCCAAACTGTGCCACAGTCTGCCTTCAGACACGTTCACACACTGCTCACTGATTTCAGTGGTAAACATCTGAGGGAGCAGCTTGACTCAGGATGTGCAGCAGCGAGTTTTCTAGGCTCTGCACGTGGGCACAGTTTGTTTCTGGATGCGGGGTATCAGGTGCAATGCTGGTGTAGACATTGCATAAAAAAGAGGAAAAAAGCTAAGCACAGTGAGACACAAACGTGGGAGGGCTTTAAAAAAGCAAGGAAGAGATGGAGGGCTGAGCTGTCCACCAGCAGACCTTGAATATCAATGAAACAGATCTTGGAAAAGGCCAAGGAGCTTGCAGCTCCCGTCTCAGAGAATTTGTGGACATACCACTGTGTACCACACCAAAAAATCCTTACCAAGGGGGCTATTTCCTTACACTGCAATTCTAAAAATCCTGGCTGTGAGAGAGAGGGATGGATGTGCTGACCTGCACGAGCCTGTGAAGGCTCTGCCTGTTGGGATCCTATCCGAGCACTGAAGACTTTGCAAGGACTGGGTGACCCCTTTAGGCATAATCTTCAAACAGCAAAATCTGGATGCAGTCAAACTTGCTACCAGTCCAAGAGAAGGCAAAGACGTAGGTTTGGAGATGTTTTTTTTACTTCAACAGAATTGTGGTCAGAGTCTAACATTGGTTGCCTTTAAAGCCAATGGAAGCATGTGAGTGCAGGTCCGGAAAGAACTTGACACTAAGTAAATCATAACTATTTCTGTCTTCCAACACAGAATACAGGTTAATTAGCGATCTGATGTCTGAACCATCTGCAAAAGATTAGTTAACTAATGAGCCAGAATACATTGCAGCATCTATGTGGGTACAAGGTGTTAAGAGAGTAAATGCATTGCAGTTTCCCTGAGCACAATATCAGCCATATGATTTTTGGGGCCATGTGCTAAGTGTTATGTGTTCTCTTTCTTAGGAAGCTTCATTTCAGTTAATTGCCTCTCTTCAGCTCACAGGGAGTAAACAGAACAAGCTGTACTTCCTCTTGAGAGTACTTGGTGGAAGACTGAGAGGTCTGGGGTCCTGATAGGAGGTAGGTTTTTTACAGGGAACATTATGTGTTTATTTGTAGACCCTAGAGAAAGCAACCTGCATTTTAGGGAACTTTGCTGTCAGACTGGCTGCTCTGAATAACTTGCCCTTGCAGATCTTCATCTCAAAAACATCCTTATACCTTGAATCCAGACACACATGGTATTTCTTGGGTTTTCTTTCCTCTATTTTGGATAATTTGGCTTTTTGCGCTCTTTTTGATCACTCGCCCAACAGTGGAAAAAGACTTCCTGCCAGGTAAATGGAGGGGTTTTGCAGGTGCATGACTATCTCATGTGAAACAGGACCACACCTTGAACTAGCTGGTGTTGAAAGGTGTAATTTCTGCCCTCCAATTATTTCTCAGCCATGCCTAAACACAATTGAATTTTAACACCTGGAGACCAAAAGATATTCAAAGCCAGATTCACCTAGGAGGAAGAAGCAAGCTCTTTTAGCAGACCAAGAGACATAACTGATGGCCTGTGAGGGATGTTTGCACCTTCTACAACACGTACAATGATTTCTGGATTTCCAACCTTGCTTTCATTCATCTGTGGTAATATCCTGGCATTATATTCCCATGTAGAAGCGAGAAGAACAACATTGAACTCTCATTTAGCATCTCTCTAGGATCCTTCCCTAATCAGATATCCTAAATGCAGGAAAACCGGTCTAGCTACAAAAGGGACAGGGCATGGCAAAAAAAGGCAGCCCAACTTCTAAAATACACCCAATATGAGATAGGCCTGGCTCACATCTACCTCCAAACCTGGCTCAGAGCTTTCACTCTGTGGGCGGAAGTGAGTGAAGATGAAGCCTGAAGGAGAGACAGGCTGACCATGCCGTACAGGCGCCTCATGAGCATCACTGTGCTCAGGGCAACCTCTCACGTGCAGGACCCCAAGGGGAACACAGACACTACATGATGACTGTAGGGAACTAGTAAGATTCAAACAATTAAAACACAGGAACACAACAAACATGATGGGACAAAAACTGACAGCAACTGTTCCAAAGAAACACCATTGGATGGAAAATCAAGCATTCCTCCTTTTCCAATTAGGCCCATAAGAAATTTGTTCTACATGCAGCAGGGATGAAAAAGAGGAAACAGAGAGAAATGTTAGGAATTTCTGGAATCATGCCTGGCAGAGGGATGTTTGGAACTGTAAAATTAAAAGGATTGATGAAATTTTAATTTTTGTTGTTTAGTTTACTAAGAAGTATGATAGATGGCTCCTCCACATGCCAACAATTACAAGACAGGTAGGATGTTCCTGTTTGTTTGTTTTTATAATATCAAAATTAGGACACAAGATTGATGTTCAAATAAATAAATAAATAGAATCAGCCCTGTATCCTAATTTCCATATTTGCAAGACAGAAAACAAACACTGGAGAGAGTGCAACAGAAATCATCTCAAAGCTGTGAAAGTATATCAACCTTCATTTGGAGGGTCCTAAGTCATTTCAGAGCCTGAACCACACTGGATGCAAGAATTTCCTTCTGGACCACCTGCACTGCATTCATGAGCTTCTCTTGATATATCTCCAGCAATCACTGATATGGGAAGTGCTGAATCCAATTTAAGCTGACTTAATAAATGTAGCAATCAAAATCCTTGGGTCTTGACCACTACCAGTTAATTCATGTTTGATTTTTTTCAGCTGAATCTGGCTGAGGAGCTGTGTGACCAGACAAATGCATCAGCAAATGCTCAGCTGGTTTCTAGTAATCCAGAGGCAATGGATTAAATGTCTCTGCACTGGGTTATGTTAATAAGAAAGTGTAAGGCCACATATGGGATTTTGGTCAAAATATTTTGATCAAAATATATTTATTAATTAGATGAGTTGGACCATTGATCAGATTACCTAAATCTGTGGCTTCTGAGGATTTACTAGTCCCATTAAAACCTTATGACTGATATTCCTCACAACTGTAATGTGAGGAACCTGCATGGCTGCTGCCACACCTCTGGTGTGTCTCAGATGACCCTCCCAGTTTGCAGCTTGTGGGAATGCTGCTCTGACGGGGTCAGTTCGCAGGATGCACTTTGCAGGGGGACAGCTCACGTCCAGGATTATGGCTGTGTGTAGGGCCCACGCTTTGCTACTAACTCAGATCTGGCTCTCTACTTTTGAAGGGTTCTTCTTTTTAAAGGAAGGTGTCAGAAGCTACTTCACGTAACAGTAGTCAAAGACATGTGACAGCTGCAGGTCTGGGCTCAGAAATGCAGGATTTGTGCCCCTTTGGACTTGCCATGAACTTGGCACTTGCCAGGATCTGAACTGACTTAGTGAATGAAAATGCACACCTTTTTCAGAGCTTTTTCAAAACCGACTTCACACCCCTTCCAAATAGCATTTAATTTTAGGAAACACCAAAATGCTTTCCCCACGAGAACTCCCTCTGCAAGCATGGATCCAAGCCAGGGTAATACCATACTCTGCAAAGCTGTGCAGCTCACATGGCACAGGATGAGCATCCCTCTGGGTAATGGTCTGTGAAACCAATGGTTACACCACAGCAGCCCCCCTGCCATCACCTGATACAGCAGACACATTCATAGCAAGTGGATCAGCCAGGATCCAGTTTCCAAATGCAGGGCTTGAATAATTAGACATTCCCATTGCTGCTCAGTGGGAGCTGGGCATTTTACTTCCCTGCACATCACGCTGAGTCTTCATATCCCTTTCCCTCCACCTCCCGCACCTCCTCGCCCCAAGCTTTCATGATTAACATGGCAATGGAGATTGAACTGTGTGCATACATTGATTTGCTGGGTGGTTTGGCAAAAGAAAGCAAATCCAAGCTACTTACCTCAGCGCAGACCCCTTTGGCGTTGCAATGCCATAGCCTTTGGAGTCCAAGTTACCTCCCACCTTCATGGTGTCACAGGGCTTACGCTGCTCAATGTACTCATTCATCGTGGACTCCAAGAGGTAGGCATACTTCCCTTTTGACTTCCTCACCCGGATCATTCCCTCTTCCGTCGTCCTCACAAAAACGGAGGGCTCAGCTGACTTCATGTACGTCCACATCTTCTCAAACACTGCTATTTTGGATCGCTGCGTAGGACAGCAGAAACCCAACAAAAGCGTTAACAGAAGTTTGGGTGCCAGCTGAGATTTCCAGCTTGGACTGAACACATACCCACGTATCGGATGGGCCAAAGGCAGCAAAAGGGGTAGTGGGATGTTAATGACCTCCTGCTGCTTTTGCGCTAGGGCTCAGACCAACTCTGTCACCCTGACGTTTTCAGGGGAAGATATTTGTGTGTGGGAGGTGATTTTGGTTATCAAAGAAAAGGCAAATCAAGCTGGAAATTGGGAGATAGTTTCTTTTGGAGCCTCTCAGGCCTCGGTAATGTGGGGAAGCACATGGATATTCCATATTTGTATTTATAATCGCAGAACATCACATGTACTGGAGATGCCGCCAGCCTTACGAGCAGCACATGGAAAACTAGATTTTTGCTGGTCTAAGGACAGACTCAGCAGGTCTTAACATGGTAAAGAGAATCCAGAGTTAAAAAGCAGACCTGGGCTGTGGAGGAGAGGGGATGGGCCCGTACCACTTGTCAAACAAAAGGCTAATTAAAATCTTTGCATTAGTTCCCTTTTTACCCTGAAAAATTCTTTAGTGGAGCCAGCTTCCAGGGTTCCATAGGCAATTTCTGTCTGCTTGGCCAAGTCCTCTGCACTCTCAATGGGAGAAACCATCCTTTCCACAGTGAGGAAGGCAGCCAGGTTAGCTGTGTAGGAGGATATGATGATCAAGGTGAAGAACCACCAGACGCCACCGACTATGCGGCCGGAGAGAGACCTGGACACAGAGAGGAGAGTCAGACAGGAGGGATGTGAAGGTCCAGAAGGTGCAGCTTGCTCTTGCAGGACCATCATTTACCAAAGCATTTACCCAAAGTCACATTCTCCAGCCACCTCCAGGGAAGCCACAGGGCTGTCTCAGTTCTCAACCTCCTTTTAAAGGTGTCAGTGTAATTACAGGGGGGATAAAAAATTCACAGTGAAAAATAATCAGCAATAATCTGATTGAATTTGCTTTTATTTTCGATTCCTTTCAGAATATGTAATAACATAAGTAATAAGACAAGGCATCTACCAGGAAGGTAGAGCTGGGCAGGGCAATGCCCACCCAAAGAGCAGCTCTGGTGAGGTCCGTGTCGGGGCATATACCCGCACGGGAAGGAGCCCCGGCATGGAGCCAGACCAGATATACAGACCAGCTGGGATCACTAGGTCAGCCCCTCCATCCCCTGAAGTTTAAAACCCCAAACTCTGTGTTTTCCTATAAGACATATTGAAGCTCAGAGAGGAGCTATGGCCTTAATGAATAATTTGCATACCGACATTCTCTGTTTTGTATTCAGCAGATGGTTAGACAAGATGTTCATAATAATGCCTTAAAATCTAAGTATTCTGCACTTGCTGCAATCAAATAGCCAATTATCTCTAACCATTGGATAGCTAGAGAGGCAAATAAGTCAAGCAGGCTTTAATTTATATTAAAATATTTTCAAATGATTTTTAAGAGCTGAGGATAATTTTAGAGTGATGTCAGTATTCATACATTCTGACTAAATTATTTATATGCTCCTTTTCTAGATGCAGAGCACTGTCCCAGACAGAAGGAACTTACAATGCTATTTTATGAAGGCAGACAGTCTGGCTAGGGAGGACTTGCCCGTGAGAAGCGCTTTGTCTCTCGGTGGGAGACCACGTCTCAGCGTTGCCTTTCTGCTGACCTGAGTCACTCTGCAGAAATACGGCTTATCAGGCGGTAGCAGAGATATCCCGCTCCAGCTCATGTGCCACACTATGTCCGGGTCTGCATCGTGCCCTGGGTCCAGCTGCTACGGTTTGCTGTGGTTGAACACGACTTGACAAACCAACCTGCATGCTTCATCGTGGGAAAACCCACACCCTGCTCATCACTGGAATTAGAGCTGAAAGGAGACTGAACCCACACAGCCCACCCGCTCATGACTCTTCTAGGTGACACCCTTCCAGTTCATCCAGTCGGGGTTGAAACGCTGCTGAGGGGAGGGGAGCTGCTCCCGCAGACATCACCTCATCTCCCTGTTTAGGTCAGTCGACCCTGAAACCTCTTCAGTCACAAGTCTCTGAGATCACTTCCAGCAGACAGCGGGCACAGTGACAGCTCACACACATGCAGCACACGGGGCAGAACGGAAAGCTCGCGTTTCACTATGTGAAAATCAGACCCGTCCCACCATATGGTCTGTCAACCCCCAGCTCCTGGAGAATGATCACCACAACTCTCTTGGGGCAGAGAGAAAGTGCAGGAAACGGGACTGCCGAGGGGTTACAGTGACAGAAGGGACAAGCTTAATTCACAGATGTGACTGGAAGTATTCCTACAGTTAGAGATGACGTTCCTCTGCACAGGGGCCTCATTTTGGAGCAGAGTGTCTGCCCCCTCTGTTTTCTTCTTGCATGGGCTTTTCTGACACTGGGCAGCAAAGTCCATCTCACCACAAACCCCAGCTGTGTGAATGACTCTGAAGGATCCACCTTTCAAGGTCTTTCAGGGAAATCTACAGGATCCATCTCCAAGGTGTTACTGTAGGAAGTTCACAAATTCTTTTCTTAACCATCCACAGCTTAAAAAGCAAGAAAGATACGACGACACAGATGATTTTTTCAGGCACGGTTTCCAACCATAAGCTAGGTGCTGGTTACCCCACCCTGCAGTGTCTTATGCAAACCTCCTCCTTTGCCGGCAACGGCAGCAACATGGCTGAGTAGGTCAACGGTCCATCATCCCAGATTATTTCTTTTATGCCTTCTCATCACTGCCAGCCAGAGAGGAGGATCAGAGGTTTGCTGGGGGAGTGCTGGATGCCCTGGGAAAGGCAAGTACATGGGCACTGTTCTTCTACCCTATCTTTGCCTCTCTAAGAGAGACACTCATCAAACAACCTCTGGAGATGAGCAGGGACCTCCAGGGATGATCCACTCCATCTCAGGCTGGGAGGAGCTTCCTCTGTAGATCCCCTCTTTGTGGAATTTTAAAGGAACTGGGATGACTAGGTTCGACTAAGCAGCTAATTTTAAGTAGCTAAGTTAGGTGAGATAAACATGACCATCGTGCTTCCCATCTGTGGAGAATACAAAGCCTGTGGATCTGTCAGTGCCAAGGACTTTACCTTTTGTTTCTTATTTGGAGAGGGATCAGGGAGGGAGGCAGCTATGGATTCAGCTCACATATCTTCAGATTGATGGGAAGAGGGAAAAAATACCTGTCTCCAATTAGTCTGGGTGATGTGTGCTCAGGGAAGGAAGCACTCAGAAGAGGCACAGAGGCATTAAACAGAAGTAACCGGATAATGTCAAATACAACAATCTCTCCTGATGAAGGCTACTTTGAGCTGGAAAAATCCATTTGCATGGCAAATATTCACATTCATCTCCAGCTGCAAATTATACAGCCTTTCCTTCCTGACGAAGCTAGGATATTTTTGCAACTTGTTTCAATCCCTTCAACGGCAGTTGGTCGGATTCCTGCCTGTAGACCCTCAACATGCTGGTGATATTCATTACTGGCATATCCCACGGGGGCTGCCTGCTGTCAGCTGCAGATGTCTTACGCTTCCCAGCTCCGCACCTGGCGCTGACAGCATGAGAAGTAACCGTGGGGTACGGAGCCTGGGAGGTAACAAGAGGAAAGAGGGAGAGGGAGCAGTAGCTTCTTTCCCACGGGAGCCAGGCAGGGCAGGATGCACACCTGTATGGTGCACCAGTCTCATCCGGGCTGTGTCTACTGCTGGTGCTGGTCATTTCCCTCATCACAGGAGCTGCCGGAGGAGGTGAGCGCTCTCACAGACAGCGGAGGAAAGGAGAGGAGCTAAACAGCTTGCTATGACTGCCCACAGGGCTTCATGCGGATGACGTTCTGTCGCAGGCACTGCTAACAGGCAATGTTTGCCCTCATTGCTAGGCTGACATGGAGCTAGGAGCTGGGAATCTGAGCCGCTATGAACACACAGCAGAGAAAACACGCAGCGTACAGACTCTACAGGGCATCGTCCTTTCGCTCCGGGGTTGTGCAACACGGGACTGCTGGCCAGTGAAGGCTCTTGGCGGCCAGTGAGATACAATGAAAAATATAATATTCATGATGAAACACCACCCAAGCAGATGCTATCCCACGCATACCGCTCAATAGCAGTGAACACAGGTTAAACAGGATGAGTTGGATTTCTTTGAATAACCATGTTGCCGGTTTAGATTTTGAGCCAATGCTTACCAGCAGTAAGTGGTTGGAAAGACAATATCCATTACATCCTTGTTCTGTTACTTCTGTAGACCAAGCAGGAGAGCAGCAGTGCTACCATCACGGGACACATTTGCAAAAGTGCCTTTGTAATTTAGGAGATAATGCCCCTTTTCTAGAAGTGACTGCAATACTTGGGAGGTAAAAGCCTGGCGGAAAGCCAGCGGGACTTAGAGTTATGTTTATGCTCTGGTAAAAGCAGTCACAGAGGAGTAGATAAACCTTGTACTTTTAAGTCACTTTGAGGTTTTGAAAATCTCACTCCACAGCTAGATAACAGAAAATGACCTTCCACTTGACTAACAAATGTTCTGCAGCTCAAGCCCTAGCAAAGTTCATTTCTCTTCCCTAATGGGCAGTGTGGGGTTTCAATCCTCTTGCATGGAGAATTTACATGTCCCCATACCCATTCGAGCATAGCATGAAGGCAATCAGCTCTCTGCTGTGTGGAAAAGAGCTAGTGACTCAATCCTCTGCAGAGCTAAGGTGAGATGGAGCACACTGGTTCGTACTTTAAAGATACGCTAAGGTTCGGAGGTTTGCATCTGCCTGTTTGACCTCTGGATTTATTCACGTACATTACCATAGTAATACTTGTGAATAGCAGGATCTAAAAAAAAAATCAGAATAAAATAAGCAAGGATAACAGTGAAAGAGGCTTTAATGAATGGCTAATGTGGAAAAGGATGAAATAGCCAGATTAAATTGTACTTTTTTCAACCTATATTATTCCTTCTGTACCTACAGTCGTCTTTCTTAGACAATCCAAGATCTCTTCATTTCTTCTCTAGCCCTGCCTGTGCTGAATAAAATCACCCGCCCAATCCTCTCCCTGACTTGGGGTCCTGCCTGTGCCCCACACAACAGTAGCAAGAAGGGGGCGCTCCTTTCCAACATTACCCTTGCAGGAGTAAGTAGTAAATAATCTGCCCTCATCATCCACGGTGCACAACCTGCTTGTAATTATAGCTGGCTGCGAACCAGGATTTCAGCACCGTGGAAAATTCTGAAATTACAAATAAAAACCTAATATTCTCAATAAGAATGAGGGGATGACGGTCACAAATATCCTTTAAAAGTTCAAAAATGGTTGGTTTGGGTCCATCCATATTTTTCTGTTACTTAAAGTTTAATTTCTGAAAGACTAAAAGGTATAATTTTAACAGGGTAAACAACTGTGTTTCTGCTTTCTCGTTATAAGTAACTTTCAGCTTTTGTAATACATTAAACCCTTACCTACCACATGTATAATATAAAAGATAATTCTGGAAAGTGTTATTTATATATGTCTAATGGAAAAAAGGCAGATGACCAAGCTGAAATTAATAATTTTGATTTTCTCACTTAGTTGACTTTTTTTTTTTTACCTTTCCTTGCAAAAGAAACCGCATCTTTCTAGCAAAACACAGAAAAGAATTGTGAGTTCCCTTTGTTCCCATGAAGTGATTTTTTTTTTAGTGTCCTATCCCTAGCATTGATGGATCCTTCACAGAAAAAAGAAAATCATG